CTGTGTGATAAGGACCGCCCTTTCACATCCCACCTGCCCCGAGCCCTTCTGGGCCCTGGCAATCTCTTTCTACTTTCAGGCTACTTTGCTCACAGACAAGGTGTGATTGAAAAATACACGAAATGTTTAGATTTTTTTTAAGTTTATTACAGTAAAAGGCACACGGCTATTAACTGCCCTCAAAATATTCCCCTTGCTTCGAACACACTTACCCCTCATTCTTGCCTCCTTCTGGACCAGAAGTCCTCTTTCCCGAATGTCCTCAGTTGCCCTATTGTGGCTGCCCTGATGTCCAGCATCAGTTCGAAATGCTGACCTTTCACGGTCATTATGACTTTGGGAAAGAGCCAGAAGCCGCACAGTGCCAGATCCGCTGAATCTGGTGGATGAGGACACACTGTCACATTTTTATTGGATAGAGATTGCTGTAAATGGCAGATTCACGAGGGGTGATCAAAACGTGGTGAATGTTTAAATTCAAAAATTTCATTTCAGTAATAGACACATTGCCTTTAATCCCCAACAAAATACTCAGAATACTCCTCGCTTTGAACGTACTCATCCCATCGTCCTTGGCAATGTGTCTTTTACTGTAGTTTTTAATTTAAACACTCGTGTATTTATCAATCCCCCCTAGAAGGAGGGAGAACACGACCACAGGGGACCTCTTGGTGACTGGTCCCCGAGGCTGTGGCTGACTCAGACACTCAGCAGGGACAAGGTATGACGAATGTGCTAAAATGCGGTGAAGGGCCAAGGAATACTAAGACTTGCTGCTGGGGGTCCTGACCGAATGCTTCTGACATTTCACAGCCTGAATTGGAATCCATGCTTAGAAATTTAAGGCTTGTTTATGTGTCTTCTCATTTCCACGGGGTGGGGGGGATGCTGCTTCTGGCGCTCATGTGGGCTCACCTTCTCTGCCCTAGGAGCTTGGAATGGCAGCAGGGGAGCTTCCTTCTGGGTGCTGGGACCAGCTCAGCTTCTCTGCCCTAGGAGCCTGGGATGGAGATGGGGAGCTTCCTTCCAGGTCATGCTTAGAAATTTAAAATGTCTTAGGTAATAAAGGAAATGGTTTGGTCAACAAATATTGCTGTGAGGCTATGATGTAAACCTTGATATCATAATAGTATGAAGAAAAATAAGATTGCCTTGTCTAAAACATTCCTGCTTCCTTTCCAAGCCATTACTAACACCAGAAATGAAGTACATTCCCGTCACTTTTGCCGTCACAAAGTGTAAACATGGCCACTCTGTCAAGCAAATAACACGTAGCTACTTTGTGCCTTTGGCTGGGTGTTACTGGGCAAATACTGCAGAATACACCCCTCGGTACCAGGAGACGGGTAATCCTGGGTGAACAGGGACAGTTGGTCCCCTAGACTTAGCAGCGGCTGGCCCATCAAAGGCTCCCCTCCCTCTGCCCCGTGACTGTCAAGAGTTGGTTAGGTTTCCTTCCCAGCTCCCAAGGACCACGGTCAATCTATACACCCTCCTGGCCAACATCGAGGACATGTGCTTGTATGCTTTGCTATTCCAACTGGGTCCATGAACCCCCAGGACAGCTTCACCCAGAGCTTGTTAAAATGCAGAGTCCCAGGCCCAGCCCCAAGTCTGCAGTCTAAGCAAGATCCCCAGGAGCTTGGCATCAAAGTTGAGCAAGCAGTCCTCCTGTTTCTTCAGTTGGATAAAGAGTTAGACCTGTTTCTCTCAACCAGAACATAAATGTCCTCCCCAATGAGGGCTTATGTCCTGCTGTGTTGGGTGCCTGTGGACACTTCAATACCTCAGTGTTTGGAGGACATCAGAGAACCTGGCCACTGGCCGGTGAGAATCACATTGTGGCCTCCTCTTCTGCAAAGAGATAGGGATTCAACCAACCACTCTCACCAGTAGTGGGCGCAGTTGAGCAAGAGTCCAGGGGTAAAGGAAGACCAACGCCAGTGGGGTTGGCATAGCAAAATGTAGACTCCAGACCAGCAAGAAGGATGGTGGTTCCTTTCCTGAGCTAGTCCATGATGAGGTGCTTTTCGGTGGCAATAAAGTCTTTGGACCTGGCTCTTAGATTTCTCAATCCTGTGAGCTATTCAGTACATTTTCAGCAAATTCCATTTCTCCTAATGGCTTATTTTGAGAACACTGACTTAGAAAAACATGTAAAGACAAGGGTCTTCCTTTCCAAAGAGAGCTACAGGTATCAAAAAAGCAAGAGAACCCGTGGGATTTAGGGTGAGTAGTTAGTGCCTCAGAATCTGATCAAAGAGATGCTTGCTGATTTCCTACTAGACTTTCCAAGTGTGGACCAATCCATGATTTGATTATGCTGGAGATTATTCAGGCGAGTCCCTGGGACTGAGGGAATAATGCACACATTGGAGTTTTGAATGCAGGCAAGGAGAGAGCCACAATTACTGCTATTACTTTTTCATTTTGGAAGCTGCTTGATCTGGCAAAATAAGGCTCACTCAGTCCATCATAAAACTATGCATTGAACACCTAGCACATGTAGTCTTGGCTAAAACCTTGCCAGTCTGCTTGGTGGAGAATATTCAAGTTGGACTCACATCATTCTACAACTGGAATCAGTTAGAGTGATTTGTAGCCTGCTTTAGACAATTTTGAAAAATTAAATATCTCAGAAAACCTTTCATTTACTCTGCAGTTCTTTTTCTTCTTAGTGGGTATCTTAGTTAATTTTCTCATTGCTGAGGCAAAATACCTAACACCAAGTTAAAGGAGGAAAGGTTTATTTAGCTCACAGTTTGTAGAGGTTTCAGAATATAGTCTGGTGGCTCCAAGGCAGGGTGACATGACAGAGGGGCATCCAAGAGGAGAAACAGTCCTTGGGAGGCAGGAGACAGCAAAGCAGCAAGCAGCAGAAATGGAAGCAGCAGAAAGCAGCCTAGCTTCTTTCTGCCCCTTTATATATTCCATCCAGGCTACCTGCCTTTTGGGTGGTGCCCCACATCCTAGGTGGGGCACCCTTAATCCCAGCATCACATGCTCTAGATCCAGTCACCTCCAAAAAGCCCCACCTATGACCACATGAGGCTTTGGGGGGACATCTGGACACAGCCATAACAGCGAGTGATGTGAAATAGAGAAGGGAGGAAATGGTGTCTTCCCAAAGGTTTACTCACTGTGAGCAGAGCTTCATTGTCAAAAAACAAAACAAAAACCACAGAGAAAGAGAGAGAGAGAGAGAGAGAGAGAGAGATTATCCTTCTGTCCAAGAATTTGCTACAATTAGCTTTTCCAGTGGAAACCTGGAAGCAATGTATTTGTAAACCGATTAATAGGAGAAATCCCCAGGGGCAGTGAACGAAGTTGTTCCTGCACTTGGCTGTTCCATCCTTGAGCTCACTCGGACAATCTCATAGAGACAGAAGCCACTAGCCAATGAAGCAGATTGTATCATGGAGAAGTAGAGGTCAATGGACAGCATCTACTCCACAGTGGGAACCAGAGGAATCTGGAGATCTGATAACAAAATGCATCGCTTTGTTCCTCTCTGGGCACAAAAGTGTCCATTCATTCTAACAGTCAGTTTCTGAACATGATCTTTATACCCAGTTAAACCATAGAAGTGGCTAATGTATTGGTCAACTTTTCATTGCTGGACCAAGATACCTGACATACACAACTTAAAAGAGGAAGGGTTTGTTTTGGTTCACAGTTTCTGAGGAATCAGTCTGTGGTCAGTTGGTTCTAAAGCAGGAATGTCATGGCCAAAGGGGGCCCAGGAGGCAGAGAGTAGAGAAAGAGTCAGAGAGAAAGGGCTGGGAACCAGATATTGTCCCCATGACCCACCCAGACACACCCAAAAGTGTGCTTTACTCATCTCATAGGCATCTCTCGAGCCAGTCAAGGTGACAATTGTACGATGTGTTGTTTCTTTTTTTCACATTGGGGATCAGTTGTTCCAGAGTTTCTATCTTGGTGGTGCTGAGATATTAGTGACTGTTAGAATGATACAACTTGGCCTATTGAGAGCCTTTGCTTTTGAAACCTATGATAAAATAGAGGTAAAAAGTAATAAAATTTTGCTAAATCTTGTATTTGGTTATTGTTGAATAACAGCTGAACGTTTTAAGCAACCGATCAATTTAGTGGTTCTTCTACTTCCTGTATGGAAATTCTGAAGTAATGTTTGGACTCTAGCATTCATCTTATACGTTCATGGATGGAAGCCATGTGCTGAGGTTGGTGGAGCAGGAAGGCAGAAGACTGTCCCTGATGTCTTCATACAGCTGTTCACATCTGGAGTTTCTTTACAGAAGTCAGTGAACCCTGTGTAGCTAAGTCACTGTGACCAGGTTATTTTCTGGGTGCAATTGCTAAGTGATGAATTGTGCATAACAACATGGTTTGAAGGAGAAGAAAGAAAACTACTTAAATATCTAGCAATAAGGGATTGATAAAATAAATTATAAGAATATGTAGTTGGTGCTAGATGGCTTTTTCCTCAATACTCACTCATTATTCAGCTCCAGCTCTGTGCCAGGCACAGTGCTAGACTTTAAGGATACAGTGATAAACAAGCAGATATTGGCCCTATGCTCACGGAGTTGAAGAACAGGGATGGCCCAGCGGATGGATGCTGTACCCAGGCTGTGCTCTTGTTAGGCTGTCCTTTGTTAGGCTGTCCTTTGCTAGGCGGTCCTTTGCTAGGCTGTCCTTTGAGAAAGGCAACCTGAGTGGCCATCTTGAGCCCCTCAATTATGGGGGCATTTTATGCCATGCCTTTAAATATCATTAAAATTCAGTTTTGAAGTTTGCCTCTCCTGGTGTCCCTACGCCCTTGTGAAGGATGCTGCCATGGTGCCATCTCTTTCAGGGCCACACTGGTTGGGCTCCCTGGCCACTGTCCCCTTCCAGAAACAGCCCTGTTGCTTCCATTACAGTTTAGAAATACAGAGAGGAGAAGCTCAAAGGAAATAAATTAAATATTAATAGTGATTATGGACTGAATAGTTCAGAGGATCTTCATTTTTCCCATTTATTTACATTTTCTAAACTTTTATAAAAATGTATTTCCTTTTAAAAATTTTCCTTGTGGCATAACATGCAGACATTCATCACAGACACACAGAACAAGCTCTCACACCCTGTGCACTGTGGAAGCAGCACCCAGATCAGGAAGCCAACATCAGCAGCTCCCAGAGAAGCCCACACTTCCCCCAGGCACCCTCCACCCCGAGGTCAGCCTGTCCAGGCTTCTGACAAACATGTATGAATTTCGCTAATGTCTGTACTTGACATGAGTAGAATCACACAATTTCAGTTCTGGTCTCTTTTGTTCACCATTTGTGAGATTCATCCATGCTTTGGCTGAAGTTCCAGATCGTTCATTTCCATCCCATTAGGGTATTATAGATAGGCTTGTTGCGACATCCGTGTCTTAGTGAACATGGTCCTGCGTTCGTGTTGAGTGTATGCCCAGGGCTGAAATCACCAAGCCATAAGACAAACAAGTTTGAGCTCAGTAGGACTGACAATTTTCCAAAGCAGCTGTAGAAGGTATTACTTTTGCAATAAGAAAAAAGATAATTCAAGTCATACCCTGACATAGTGTCATTTATACCAAAACATCGCCTACATTTAAGTCTGCTCATGACAGAAATCTACTTACAAGTCTTTCTTCCCAATTGTTAGAGGCAAATCAATTTATAGGCCACTATAGAGGGTAAAAATGGACTCCAAACAGAGCTGCAGGTATCAGGGGCTAATGACGTAGCAGGGCAAGCGACGGTGCAGGTAGTGATTATGCCGCGCCCACTGGCCCTGTGGAAAAGCAGCACATTAAGGCAGGAGCATGTGGAAGAGTAAAATCACTCACCCTACGGCTGAAAAGTGAAAGAAAGGAAGAGCACAGAGCTGTCCTCTTCAAGGGCATACACTCAGGGACCCACACACCTCCCAGTAGCCCCTTAAAGTGCCCCCTCCTCCCCATAGTGCCAAATGTTAGGGCCAAGAGACCAGGCCTCTAACACTCGGGCTGTGTGGGCACCGAGACCCAAACTCACCAACAAGTGACTCACCCTAGGAGTGGGCAGCGTGAGAAGTGGTTAGTGCAGGGCAGGAAAAGGCAGTAAAGTCTTCCTCCGAATGAAGGTGTTGCGGTCAGAACTGGGGCGTGGGTCACTTCTGACCTGAGAAGCAGAGCTCTGGGAAAAGCCCTGAAGAAGAAGGCACTGTGGGAGAGGCCTCGGGAAATGTGGCTGGCTGAGTCAGCTCAAGTTCAGGTGTCTCCTGGGTGAGCAGGTGAGAAAGGCAGAACAGAGTCCAAGTTCTTCAAGGCAGTGTTAAGGACTCAAGCCTCAGGGCAATAGGGCATGTCTGAAGCTGTGGGCTGGGTGTGTATCGGCCAGGCCTGGCCAAGTTCTGCTGCTATACTAAGCAACCACAGAACCCTAACAGCAGAATTCTACTCCCCCTTTTCCACACTCACAGTTCGGCTGAGGGCTGAGCACTGTAATGTCCTCACTCCAGGACCCAGTTGGACGGAGTGCCTTCATCAGGGACACACCAGTCACCGTGGAAGGCAAAGAAGGCACTTTGGAAGGTCCTGTCCCTGGAGCTAAATGCTCTGGCCTGGAGGTGACAGACGCGCGCCACTCCTGACATTTCAGCAGGCAGAAAGCGCACTCTTACCATGCCGCTGAGGGCCTGGGAGAGCTTGAGAAGCACACTCACAACTGCTACAGTGTGAGAAAGAGCTGGGGCAGGGGCCTAGGACGGTCACTGTAACACAGGCGGGACAGGATGAAGGGAAATAGGGGCCCGCTACCAGCAGGGCCACCGAAGCCAGGTAGGTGGAACAGACTTTCCTGCTACAACAGAAATGGGGATGAGGGGTCAGGGGATGGACACAGGTCACAGGAAGAAAAGCCATGTCTTGTGGAGGTGGCCACATCAGAGAGACTGGGGCATGGCTCCCGATCTCTGCTCTGAGCAGTCAGGGGATGGTCAGGGTGGAACAGAGACAAAGGGGAGGAACATTCCTGCGGGTGAGGCTGAGTTGGGCAGAGGGAGGGAGGGAGTCCACATGGGCTGTGGTTCACGGGCCAAGCACAGCACAGCCATGGCAGACTACTCCCTGGTCATCAGAACCTGCAGGGAGAGACATGGCCTCCCCTCTCCACCGCCACTGCTTTGCATTTCTTTCAGGCTGAAACTTGGGTGTTTTAACTCTTTTGGATGGAAGATGTCCAAGCTGCATCACAGACTACCGGACACGGCACAGCTGTGTGAAACTGTGTAATCACCCGCCTCGTCCTCAGCTCTTCCATGTTGCTTTCAGCATGGAAGGCTCTCAGGTGAAGGACAGAATTCAGCCTTTTCATACCAACTCTGGGCTGCTCTAGTGCACATCACCTGTGAGCTCACACCTTAAAAGGTAGCCAGGTGTGCACAGTCTGCTTACACGTGTGCAGCTTCGCCATCCCTGTTGTTCCCTTTGTGGGTCTCCACAGTCATTTATGATCCCCACAGACTTCCTGTGATAATCTCCAAGTGCCTACCTGATATGCCACAACCAAACAAGGAAAGTCATTAAACATCTCGTATTAATCAAGAGCCAGTAGACTCGGTGGGAAAATACACATCTGTCTTTTGGGAAAAACCAGGACCATAGAGCCAGGGAGCTGCATCGAGGTGCCTTTGCTTCACCCAGGAAGGCTGCTTCTGGGGGCCCCAAGGAAGTGGGGCATAGTGAGGCCTCAGGTTAAAGGGTGAGAGAAGCAGAAATCAAATCAAGTTGTGTCCTGAACCTCACATTGTAAGACTGACCTGGATTCGCACATTCACCCTCTCCTCATGACCTCCCTTTGCATTTATTTTGAATTTAAGTTTTTATTCCAGACAGGAAGTTGGCCAGAAGCTCAATCTTCAGATAAATTATTTTTGTATGTTTTTATATTTACCCTCAAGGAGTTAAATATGTTTTGTTGAGGACGTGGGGCAGGAAATACAATGTGAAAACTATAGAAGATAATTTATAACTCAGTGATGGGTTGGGCATAATAACATATTCATAAGTCTTCGCTTCCCACACCAATCTGTTTTCGCCCCCACTGTCCGTCAATTTACACCTGCCTCCCTCAGCTTCTGAGCCTACTCTGCTTCTCTCCTGGAGTGCCCGCCTCACCTCTCTGTCGGTCCCAATTATATTTAGTCTTGCAGCACAGTTCTGGTGGAATACAATGTGGAGGTTCCTCACAAAATGAAAAATAGGACTACTGTCTGATCCAGCAAACCCACCATTAGGTCTACATCCAAGGAAATGAAGTCAGTCTCTCAAAGAGAGCCTTGCAGTATTATATACAGTAGCATAGACACAGAATCAAAGTGTCTTTGGGGGCAAATGGGTAAAGAAAATGTGATGTATACAATGCATATGCATACACACAGTGGAATGTATTTTAGCCAGGACTGAAACATGGCTAAAACATTAGCACCAACATGGATGAACCCAGAGGATGTTAAATGAAATAAGCCAGACACAGAGAGATAAATACTGCACAATCTCACTCGTGTGTGCATTTTAAAAAATTAAACGCATGGAAATAGAGTAGAATAATGGCTAACAGAGGAAACGGGGAGATACTGGTCAAAGGTAAAAACTTTTAGTTATATGATGATTGCGTTCTGGAGATTTACTGTAGAGCATGGTGACTCGCTAATGGTCCTGTACTGTGTACTTGAAATGTACTGCACAAGCATTCTCAGCAAAAGACAGAGAGAGAGAGAGGGAGAGAAGCTACACGAGCTAATGAGTGTACTGATGAACCTGATTGCAGTGAGCGTCACGGCAGGCATGTGCAGCATCACCTGGGACACCTCAAGATACCATTTTATTGGCCAATTACGCCTCAAGGAAGCAGGAACACAAAAAGACGCAATCCTGGCCACACTTCCTTCCAAATGTCCCGCTGAGCTCCAGCTCCTCTTGGCAGCACCCTTTTCTTGGCTCTGTCTCTGCTTGACCGGGTCTCTCCACACAGCCCTTCCCCTCGTTCCTCTTCTTTGGGGTTCAGAGTGGCGCCTCCCGCCCTAGATTATGTGTGAGAGGCAGAAGCAATGCCCCAAACCTTTGCTGAATCTAGAAGGAGCTAGAGCTCTTAGTGTCTGGTGGCACATGTTTTCATATAGGAAGACACCATGGTTTATTTTTTAGCATAATCGTACATAATATCCAGCACAAGCAGAGCAGCTTTAGGGAATTCTGCCAACTGTTTCCCCTCAATGTAACCACCAGTAGAAAATGGTTTCTTACACCATGAACTCGGGATGTGCTCATTTAAGTTGAATTTCTTTGTCGTGCTCATGCTAAAACGTAGTGTGACATTTGATTCCTCTCAATAGGTTAAATATATCTTACAATTTAAATTAATAGGCCCTCAAAAATCATTTTACTGGAACTTTATGATGCTCACCTTAATCAAATAAAATAGCCAATGCAAGCGACTTTTAGCTTATGTTCTCTCAAACAGGATGTACATCAAAAATTCCAAGAAAAGTCAGCAAAATATACTGATGGCTGTCCTTAAACATATGTGGGATATTGACAAAGAGGCCTCAGCAGTCACGGTGACAATATTTTTACGGCCACTTGACCAGTATGGAAAAGGTCAGCCTGCAGATCTTTCATAATTGCCACTGAAAGTTACATCACTTACTTCTTTTCTTGAGTAGCTTTGTCCTATTCGATTGCATGAACTGAAAGCACGTAACAGTCAAAATTTTGCAAAGTTTGGCTGGTGCTGGTTATATAATTATTTCAAAAGTATTCTTTGAAAAAGAAAAAATATTTATTGAGTGCTCACTATGTGCTAGACAGACTTCTAGATGCTTGACATGCAGTAGTATATAAACAGGCCTAAGTTTCTGCTCTCCTGAGGCTGGGTGTGGCTAAGTCCTGACTGCCCCCAAGGGCTCATGCATTCAGGGGGGACTGGGTCACGCGGGCACTGTCCTCATCAGTCGGTTCATCCACCAAAGAGCTCTCAGCTGAATGTGCTGTTGGGTTGCGGTCTGGATGAAAGAGGTGGTCACTGGGAGTGACCTGGAAGGGTTCATCTCCCTCCCTACTCTGCTTCCTGGCCACCAAGATGTGAGCAACTTTCCTCCATCCAATCTGTATCCAGATCTGCCTTGGGGCCAGTTGGCTATTGACGAGTCCTCTAAAATCCATGAGCCAAAATAAACCTCCCCTCTTCTAAATCAGGGGTGTGGAGAATTCTGTCCCCAGGATGGGAAAGTAGCTGAGATGGGGCTCTTTCATCCCCTGAGCTCTGTGCTAATCACATTCACATTCCTGTGAAGTGGATTTTACTGTGCCCGTTTCATTGGTGAGAACCTGAAGTTCAGGCAGAATAGGTCCCTGATTAAGGTTCAGCAAGCAGTGAGACTGAATTCTCATCAGTTCTCTGGTTGTGGGTCTTACTCTGCAACATTTTTGTGTCTCCCACATTGGGATTCTATGAATATTTTCCAGGAGGTAGATGCTTCATAAAAAGTAATAGTCCAGCATCCAATATGGTTGGAAAATACATTGTCACAGGTTGGGTTCTTCTAGAAACAGACACTGAGAGAAGTTTCACATGATTCACAGGGATCAGTGTGAAGATCAAGGCATGGAGAAGGGAAAGGCAGAAGCAGATTAGCAGAGATCTCAAGCAGCTATGCAGTCAGTCTCACCTGGCAGGCACCGCAAGAGCCGTGGAGAGGGGATGGCCCTTCCAAGTGTCCTGAGTTGGGGTGAGGTGGCCAGGGGTTACAGCCTCCTGCCAATTACCTGTTGGATGTGATCCATCCCAGAAAGGGAGCATGGCCTCGGGGAAGGCAGCTCTATGCAGCTGAGCCTATCCCCACAGAGGACTGAGTGCTGAGGGCTGGCTTCCAGGGACTCTAGCAGGAGCCAGAGGCAATGAGTCCTTCGTTCCTACAGGGATATCTCAGAGGGGCCATGTAACATCCAGCAGAAAGTGATATTTGCAAGCACCAAACTGGATAAAAAAACCCCAGATTTTTGTGCCATTCCCTACGTAGAGATTTTAATGGGCAAATGTATCTTGTGAATTTTCAAAGGGGGAATTTACTACACAGACTTTCACAAATTTATTTAAATTCAGAATATTTTTGGGTCTATATTTATTAGGATCATTTGAAAAAATATACTTAGGATGCATATGTACTAGAAATAAATCATAGTGCAGCTGTGATTGAAACCAAGGTATGGAAAGAGGAAACTGCATGTGTAGTAGGGTTATGGAAAGGGCCACTAAGCTATAGAACTGTAAGATGTCTAGAAGAAAGCAGAGATGTAAATATAGCACCAAGAGCACAA